ATCATCATACAGATCGGATGGTTTTCAACTCAACAATTTAATGACCTGTGCAACTCAGCTATATCACGTGGTTTACAGATATAACAAATGTAGTCTCAGTAATTATTACACTCTTGTTCATCCCAAAAATGCTTTAGAAAATTGTATCACAACTGTATCTCAAGTTTGTCATAGTATAAACCATTGAAGACAATAACGGTAAATATATTTAATACAGTCTAGCGATCTTTTTTCAGGGGAGTAAAGGAATTGAAGGAGGAGGGGGGGGGGGCTCTGAAATTTTTTCGACTACCAAGGAGGGGGCTCCTAAAAAATTGAACCGCTAGCGAGCGGGGCTGCTAAAATTTCAAGCTTCGAGTTTCAATATCTTCATCCCCCCCCGCCCCCCTTGTCATATTAAATGAACTTTCCCTAAGGATTTCTCCTTTTTGATCAGACTGAAAATTTGAATGATGAATGAATCTATCACTCAAAAAGGAGTATTTTTTGGCAAATTTTAAAATGTACGTTATTTTATTTAGCTTCCTACCATGTACAATAATTAGCCTAATTCATTGAAAGGTGACAACCCAGCTGCTATGGTTACCCCCGGGATACTGGTGATGTGTAGTACATAACCATGGAAACGTTAAAAAATTCAAAGGAAGGACTTTTACACCCGGGAAAGGAGGTGGGATGGGTGTGGATGCATGCGAGATGACGGTACAAAGGGGCTAGTACTTGAAATTGCCGAAATTGGGTACAGATTTACCCGTTCGAGTCTAGGAGAACCGTTGACCACTATTATTTGAATGAAAAAGTAAGAAAGTAACTAAATTCGGGTTTACAAGAGTAACCTCGGGTTGGTGCTCAAACACCTTCGACATAATGGACCTGAGGGGAACACAGAGCTTAGAACAAGCCAACTTTGTTATTACACAGATCATAAAAACAAGCACTACTTTATGTTTCTTGTCTAAATGCAACTACCAACACATCTTGAAGATTGAAAGTTTGTTTAATGATAATCTATGGACTCGACTTGCGAGACCATGCTTGAAACATACATAAGTTGCCGACTCCGTTTCTTGGAAATTTCGTTAACTTCTCAGGGCGAAGCAGACTCAGATTATCCCAAACATCTTAGAGTTTACTCACTTTGCATTGAAACCCAACACATTTCATCTATGACTGGAGCCCATCGCGCGCTCAGCTTTCCTGGCCCCAAATTGAAAAATACAACAGGATTTTCAAGAAACCCCTAACCTCCCCTCCCCCGAGAATTAATATACTATAGTGATATTTCAAGTTTATGTAATCAGTGCGCACGCGCACTTCATGCCAAACGTGTTCCCAAAAAAATGTGAATTATTCTAAGCGGTCCTTCCAGCTTTTTTTTCTGGCAGGCAGGGCGAAATAGTTTGGAGCAGTTTTGATGAAGACAGTTTCCCAAATAAGGTCACAAGCAGCGCAACACCGTAACCCGTAGCTCTTTCACCCTGAAAAAGACAAGGCGGAGAACGCATCAGCTGGTCGAACGAGAACGGTAACAGGGGGACAACTTGGAGACGCAAAGTTAAGTGGGGTGGGAAAAGACCTACAAGGAGAACGCAAGTTGAAAGTCAAGTCCCTCTTCCACAGTGCGAACACTCAAACCGGGACACTTGGAAGAAGATTGTCCAATCAGAAAACAGCCCTCAGATTAAGGAATGTATTGTTCCGTTTGCAATAAAAAAGCGTTGTGATTGAACAATCTTCTTTCAAGTGTGCCGGTTTGAGTGTCCGCACTGTAACGGACACACAGAAATAGTCCTCGTCTTTCCTTACTAACTCTCTACAAGGAAGGAGACTTATGTAAGACATATACGTTAGTGACCAAGCGTGAAGGCAAGATGTCTGGATATTTTTATGGACCAAGACGAAATCATACAGAGAAAAAACGACAGCAATACTCAGCCGACTTGACCGAACAAACGTCCGGGTCAGTAGAGGATATATTATATGGCCAAATCAAAATCTTTTCATGCCAAACCAAACAAACAATGATATCCTTGTGATATACCCCCTTTAAGTTTTAGCCTAACACTGTAATGCTTTTTCCTTACCACATGAGCTGGAGCCGCCATGTCAACATGAAGCCAGGTTCCAGGGAAATCAAATCCTAAATGTGAGCCTAAAGATAAGTAAAACAGATTACACATGTAGTTAAATACAACGTCTTCAAGGTAATATAGACGCAAACGTAATTACAAACGCAATTTGGTAAAACGGAAATTTGGATCTAGAGAAGTATGCACAAATTAACAGAACATGTAATTAGCGAGAGGTTTTTATTCAAAGGAGCTGGTTTTCGAGCCGGCGCAAGACTGAGCCATCCGGTAGATCGTAGACATAGCGCCAGTATCTTTCATTGTTGCAAATACAGTAACAGTGCCCCTGTTAGCCTACGTAGAAAATGTTACCGCGCGAGTTCGTTCACAAAGTGCGAATGGCAGAAAAAAAGGAAGGAAGAGGTGGGGTGAGGAGTCCTTTTCTTCTCTCCCCTCCCCCGTCCTCCCCTTTTTTGCTCTCGTTTTAACTTCGCGCGGAAACTCTGGCTACGCAGGCTGTTTCTATGGGCGGCAGCTATGGGTATACCTACCAATAAAGAGACCAGCACAAGAGACTTGAGCGTTATCACGGTTCTGCAAAGTAAGAGAAAACGGTTTTAATTGGAATTTTAAAAAAATAACCAAATCATGTTTCCACATTCTTAGTTATCATCAAAGTCCCTGTCCAAAGTCGAAAGGACCGAAAGATTTGATGCTATACTACTAGTATATACCGTGGCAGCTGCTACGAATTTTACCTGGTTTTGTTATTCTCATTGAAATCAATACGTTCTTCCATATTAGAACAAGTTATAAGTAAGCAATTCAAAATAACAACTTTCAACTTTCAATGAGTACTAAATCTTTGTTATACTACCTCTTTAAGACAACGTTGCCTTTTTAATTGTACAAAGGCTGCATCAACTATGTGAAAGTCTACCATGGCCAGAGGGCGAGCAAAGTGAGCTGTATCTCGAATGAAGGCAAACGCTTACACGATATGGGCTAACCATGAGGAGAAATAACGGCTTATAACAAACAAGAACAAACCTGGACAGAGTTCTTCATATCTGCCAAGGCGCTTGAAAATTCCGAAAAATGAAGTTCGGGGCAGTAAGGCACTGGGAACTGTAAAAATCCAAAATGGCAAAATTAGCGAGGGTTGTACAAACGGGTGTTACGAAAATGTAAGACCTACGACACCATCTTTGCATTGACACTTAGGACTTAGATCCTAGTTTCTGCCACACCCTATGAACTTTATTTACATTGTGGAAACGAAATAGTATTGTTACGGCCATGGAAACGCCACGAAAAAACACGACGTAATTGCTTTAACGTGTTTTGTTATTTATCATTAGAAACTTCAACCCACTTACCAAATACAAAACATACTTATTATTTAAAATAGCGCTATGAATGTTCTAGTGAGAATGCTCCAATGGAGGGGTTTTACGTAAATATGTGTAAATATATGCCGCCTGTTTCAACTAATTGGGATTTTTTGCTCGTTATTCAACTTAAGGTAAAGGTAAAGCAACCATATTTTACGTCCATAACTCGTGACAGTAATCGCTGATAAGCTTGAGGTCAACGGTGCGCTCATTTTACCCCCTTCTCTCCATCAATCAGTGTTCCAGCCAGAAAATTCTGCTTGAGGGCCAAAGTGGCCCCTACAACCCATTTTTGAGGGCCAGATTTTTCAAGAAAGGGCCAAATATTCCGCTGTCTTTCTGACATGTAAAAGAGAAGAAACGGTTGGGAAGTTAAGTAAAATAAAATGGCAGTTTTTTTAAAGCTGACATGGAGTATTCCTTTTCATACACAATAGAGCAAATCTTCGGCAACAAAGCAAACATTAGCACAATCAGAAATAGTAAGTACTTTTTTTCATTGCTGAATCATGCATCACATTAAAATGAATAACTGAAATCGTTCAACCAACGTCTTAGCGGAATTTTTTTTCCATACGAGCTTGTTTTTGCTTCGGTTCGTTTCCTCAGCTCCGCTACACCATTCACGTTTTCCAATTCACCGTCAAGATCTTCTTCTTTTCGCTTCGCCGCCATCCACGTTTTCGTTACTTACTGAGAAAAAACTTTCGATAGACCTCGACGATGCGTTTACCAGGTTTAATCTCCCAAGTCGAGGCTCAGTGGTCCCCAGACCACTCATGGTAAATCAGGTAAACATGTTGGCCGAAAGATTCGTTGATTGATTTTCATGTTGGGTAAAGAGGTACGGAGTTGTTGTTCTTTATATCAAAAATTTTGTTTAATTGGAAAATTATTGTAGTTGAAGTAACAGAGACGTTTTAAAACCCTAGGAATTAAAAAAGGAAAGGGCCATAATAGCCCTTGAACGCTTTTGTTGAGGGCCATCTGTCGATCTTTTGCGGGATGCACGCAATGGCGCACTCTGGCAGGAACACTGGACTCTGTTTTAAGGGTATTTAAAGCTAGTCAAAGCTACACAGAAAGGAGAGAAGTTGAAACAAGGATGTCATGTCACCGGGGATCGAACTCGAAACCTCGCGCACCGAAGGCCGCGCACTAACCAACAGTGCCACCCTTGCCCTAACTGATTTCTTGATTGTTTTCTCACACCCCTTGATCGCTCCAAGCACTTAGTCGTTTTGGAAAAAGGCAGACAAGTAGTTTTCATGTCCACAGTACTCACCACCAGGTCCCCACTCGCTTTTCCTGCCGCGGCGCAAGCAGGTTCCCAGGCCTCTTCATTCGTTAAAAGGGATGCGTGATGTTTTCCTGTGGCCACACCCTGTGCACCAGTCAGAGTGGCCATGTCCAAAACGATGTCGGCATTGAGATCTTTCTTGGCGTAAGCAACCTTCAGACACGGCAAATTAGCTTAGCAGAAAATATCTGTTAACTAGTCTGAAAATTCAAAAAATCTTTCACACTCGACTTCCTGCCTAATTTCTTAAATCCTTAAGCAGGCAGGGCTCAAAAAAACTTGGGACTTTTGAAAGTCATGTTGACTAACCAAAGAAATTCTAGCTCGGTCACGTCTCTCTTCTGACCGGTCAAAATGTAAAAAATAACAAAATAATAACTTAAACGTACTAGCATGACAAGCAAAAACATAAAGTAAAAAAAAGACGCTTGTACTCTTGCAACGTTATAGCGTGGAAATGTATTTTTTCCTGGTCGCTTAATTTACCTGTCCGGTCAAAATTACCGGCCAATTGAAAAATTGTCCGGACAAATGGTCATCTTGGTAGTTACGACACGTAACTGTAACTCAAAGGCGATAAAACAGTATCTCACCCCATCTCCAAGAACAAGACGTCCTTCAGCATCTGTATTATTAACTTCAACTGTTCTACAGAAGAGGAAATGAACTGTGTTAAAACGTTTCCCATTTACCGTTAACGTGATTCTAAGTCTCTCTAATGTGTGGAACGTCGCGCGTAAACGTGGAAGTTGAACCGCCTCGCCCAACTTTTACGTTTACGCGCGACCTTTAAACATTGCTTCTACTTTCAATTCAAATTACGCGCGTACGCGCGTACGCGCGTAAAAATTCGCGACATGCAGTGGAAATCCATCTAACTCTTTTTTATCGAAGCTATAAGTTCGTTTGAGTCCTCTTTTAGATGAAATATCAAATGAGGGAGAAAAGGCCAACGGATTAACGTCACACCCCAGTGACGTAATCCTCTAAACTGAAACAAGCTTTTAATCACAGCCAGCATGACCTCATCAGTTTTTTAAGACCTTCGTTGATGGTTAGTTGGGGTTTATTTACAAGTCCTGCTTAACACACCAGCAGTCTATGAACTTAACTAACCGGGAGGTAAAGGAAAGTAATTAAAGGACTAAAAGTCTCCTTATTTGAGTTAATAGAGAGCTTTAGCAACAACTAAGGTGACAGCAACAAGAACGTCAAAAAAGCAATAGGTTATGATCGGCAAAACAACAACTCTGCGCGAGCAGTACGTTTTTTAATGTACATTTCTTTGCCGTCATTGCACGGCTACGACGTGAAACGTCCTGATTTCACGTTTTATTAAGAACTTAAATACGAGAAAACGATTCAATTTTTCTTTTTCTAAACTTAGATACAGCACTTCTAGAATTAAACTCCACAAAAATTCGCAAATACTTGACAAATTGAACGAGATGTAATGAGAGTGAAAAAGTTTGAAGCGGAGCTTATTCATTCTTTGTGAGACGTTTTCGCTGCCACTTCCCTCGAAAAAAAAAACAGGTGCCGTTTGAGAATTAGTAGGGTTGCTTCTGAAAGTCAGAGAGTTGTTAAGGGGTTGAAAAACGTTGTCGACAGGCAACACCTGGCATTTTTAAACAGCACTTACTTTCCCGAATACAATGTTAATATGTCATCAGGTCTTGTAGAACGAGAACCAACCGCATTTTCAGCCATACAGAACAAAGCATGAAGATTCTCACTAAAACCCTGCCGGGAAAGAACAGGGGAGAAACTGTGAGAACACATAGCACAGAATTTCAAAATATACCTTTCCCATACATGCTGACAGCTGTCAATGCTGACTGAATACTGCAGTTTGGTCATCATGTTTGATCATGTAGGTGCCATCTTTCAGAGCCGACGATCGAGAAAGCTTGTTTGTTTTTTTTTAGGGGGGGGGGTCCTTGGGGGTGGGGGGCGGGAGAAAACATCCACGTTTGATGTGCCAGTATAATATTATATTATATATATTATATTATATATAATATATATTATATATATTATATTGTATATAATATATATTATATTATATATATTATATTATATATATTGACAGTATATTGTCTTTCTTGTCTTGTTTTTGTTCTTAGGAGAGTGCATGTATAACAACCACGAGTAGATTTGAAGTAGAACACTACTACTGTCATTGAGTTCAAACCAACAAATGCATTATGTTCCCAACGCCACATAGCCACAAGTAAGCACTTAACTTAGAAACTTGAGTTACAAAGAAGAAATGGCGGTTTTGATAATGTCACAGACTTCAAACTGACCTGTTTCACAGCGGCTCTAAAAGCTCCTAGAATGCCTGCTGCTCCGCCACAATCTCTTTTCATTCCAAGCATGGAAGTCTACCAAAAAGAAAATAAAACTGTAGTCTTCGGTAAAATAGGATCACTTAGGGACGGACCATTAGTTATGGGAGGGGCGGGGGGAGAGGGGAATTTTCGAGCCGCAGGAAGTTTTTTTCGTTATCAAATTCCTTGCATGAATATTTTTTAGGGTTAATTGGCGTGCATGAATTTTTTTTCATTTAATTTTCCGTTGCGCGAAAATTTTTTTTGTACTTCGCCCGCCCCCCCATAAGTTTTCTAATGGTCCGTTCCTTACTGAAATATTCATGAAACCTGCAGGGCTGTCACTATGAATTGAAGTTTCCGGGCATATGTAAGGTGATAGAGAAAGGTAGGTTGGGGATTGAACAGCTAGGAAATCTTGATAGTAGCCAGGTTTATTCCGCTGCTCCCGGCGCCCTTAGTGTTAAACCTGATAAAACTTTAGCTTAAGGACCGCTGGAAATTTGAAATGCTGCTTGAATTTTTTTCTTGAGGACAGTGTTATAACAGTCATTCACTAGTGCAATATGTTAGTCTTAATAACAGGCAAGCAACATACTCTCTCTAATACATTACAAAAAAATAAATTCCATTTTAGATTCTATTTCATTTTACATTCCAGCTTCAGTTTTTCACCCCAATACAAAAGTTAAGAACTCACTAATAATTAAATTATTAAATTATTAATTTATCCTGATTTTTAATAATAGGCTTAGAAATTAATGCCCCTTTGTTAGTAATGAAGGGTCTCAAATAGTTGGCCAAAATGTTAGCCTCCAAATTGAAAGTCCACGGTTTACAGTGACTGCTTCTTTTTTTTTTTTACAAAACAGCATACAAATGTAAATATGTAAGCCACAAGAATGCAGGCATCCCACTAATGGATCTACCTCAAAAACTGCAAATGTAGTAAGGGCTGGCCCAGAGGTGAAGCCATGCATGCCCCAACTGCAGAAGGTAATACTTTGCATCTGGATCAGAAGGCCATGAAGTGTAGAACCTGTAAACGGCTTTGTGGTAAGTTAAAGCACTTTACAGCCAGACAGTGACTAGAAAATGGCTTGACCAGCTTCAAAACTCATTTCTTCGGCAAAATTCCCAGGAGCAAATGGGCTAACAGATTGGTTTAGAATATGATAAAATGGTTCTTGTTTGGCCAAAGTACATGTAAAGTTTGGGCTTAATCTACAGTTCAACATGCTTTTTGCTTATTTTACAATACAGCAGAACAAACCTTGGCTTTGATGCATAGCCCTCCAGTGTCATACACGATGCCTTTTCCAACCCAGGCTATCGTCCGTGTTGCAGATGCTGGTGTGTGACTTAACACCACTAGAGCTGGTGGATTCTCAGCAGCTTTTCCAACTCCATAAAGACCTGAACAGATGGGGAAAAAGTCAAACCTGAACTCAGACAATGAGCCCTTTGCAAAATACAGACACATGGTACAAAAAAAACCTTGCTGGATGGCAGATGACCCAATGAAAGGATATTTTACTTTTGGAATGATGCTATCTCTTTGATTTTCGTGCCCCTCTGCATCATTTGCAATTAAGCATGGTGTTTTTTATACCATGTGGTTGTAATCTGCAAAGGGCCCATTAAGCCTACATTACTTGCCAAAAAAATAAGATGTTCAAATGTTGTCTGTTTTACCCCTAATGTTTCAATTTGGACACGTTTACTCTCATTTCAAATGCAAAAAAATATCAGACTCTTTGCTGAAACACACCTTCAGTATCCTCATGACTAAGAAAAATAATAGTTTTACGGCACCCTTATGGTTTTTACACAAATTTACAAAGCAGTGTTGCAAGTACATGTAAGTTCAGTCTAGTTCAGTCAACAGCATTCATAAAAGAAACAAAACTTAAATTTCCTTTCCAGTGAGATGGCAAACAACAGCTGAGAAGAGCTTCATCCAAATTCTAGCTAAGTATAATCATGTACTGTACATAGTATAATGACCTTTAATGTGTGATGACTAGCCCAATGTGGTACATTTTAACAAACTTTATATGTACTGTGCATGTAAAAAATTGGATGCTTAAATTTTGGAAGGTTTTATGCTTGGACAATACATTTTTGTTTCAACTTTTTTCCAAGTAGACTAAATCCTGTTAATTAACCTCTCAGTATCTGCGGGCAAACTTACCTCCAAATCCCTTTTCATTAAGTTCTTCGCCTCTAATGATAACAGGAACAATTCCTAGCTCCTTGCCAACGCTAGTTATCTCCTAATGAAATTTAGGATAAAAAGGGAATATGACAGAGTTTTAAGTGCAGTCATTGAGTGTCTTCACAATGCACAGTCTGGGCAACATTGTTTTCAAAGGGGACAGGCAGCAAATTGTGGTTTCTCAAAATATCTATAAGTTAAAAGTTCATCAATGGGATGCCTAAAATTTGTGCAATTCCACAACTGGTTTTGGCTCCAGTAAATCCTATACCAATTGTAGAACATTTTAGGAGGAGCTCACACCCACAATAATGTGAGCACAGTTTAATACTAACAAGGCATATTATAAATACATGCGGGAAACCAATACAAGAAATGGCTGTTGGAGAGCAGTACAGGTGTAATATAATGCTACAACTTAAAAGGAACACACTTGTTGGTCATTACTTGTTACTAAGTTGCTATGGTTACTTGTGACCAAGACAACCCTCACCAAACTTTGCCAAATACCTGTTAGGGAATCAAATGCACAGCTACACGAACTAAAGAGAAGAGGTTCTAGATCAAAATTGTTATTTCTTCAAAAATCAGTGACAGACTAAAGGTTTAAAACTAGTACAATAGGCAATAACATTGTTGAGTCACTACCCTCAAAATAGGAAAACAAAAATGAAACGGTGTTTGTTGGGGTGTTTGTTGTTTCTTACAGGTAGCCCATACAGCAACATTGAAGCATTAGAGGGTGCGGGGAGAGCGAAAGTTTAATTTTTCACTTTTGAAGTTGGCAAAATGTCACAATGGCCCTTTAAGGCAGACTGTTTCACCTAATTTTGTTGCAGATTGGAGCATTCAAGGCATGAATATCACCTGTACAAATGCACTTGTATGCATATCCTGACATGGCATATCCACCAGCCTTGCACTGAGACGAATACTATCAGCAACCACATTCATGCATTCAGCATCTTCACTCGACAGTGGTAAATCATTGCTCCCGACAAAAACAAACTCCACAGTTACTGTCTTTGATGGCAGCTTAGCCCGGGATGATTTTCTTGAAAATGTTGGAAAAGCTCTAGCAATGGCACAGGCTGATGCAAAAGCTTCACTTCTTTCACAGACAACCTGAAGGAGGAAGATGGTATTTGTTTGGACATATCAGTTTTAATTTTTATAACAAATTAAAAAGCTAGGAGGACCTCTACACCAGTGTTCTCCAGAAGATCTGGGAGCCAGCAAAATCACCAAAGCAAAATCCTACTACCAACCTCACAAACCACATTTTTTGTGTCCCTGCTGGAAAACATTTTACCATTCACCCTCATTTTTGACTCTCTACAATGAAAATCCCTCTACAACTTACAGTAACACATGATCAATAATGTGTTGTCCCAACTGTCAAAAGTATTAGTAACCTCTCACCATAACAGCCATTCAGAAGGGAATAATAAATGTGTTGAAAACTGATGTAGATAAACTCAAAGTAACTTCCTTGCTTTACATTAACAATAAACAATAAATTATTTTGCTCTGAGCATTTGGTTTTGGATTAGTATATAATATAACTGCCAATCACAAATGTTACAACCATATCCAGCAAATTGGACTCTCATTACACCAGTCCTCTATCTCCCCATAACAACCACTAACTTTTCGAAAATGGCCAGTTATATCTATCCCCGGGTAGACTCCCTACAGATTAGTTGTGAAAATGCACTGCTTAGACTAGTGTTCAAGGCTTGAATAGCGCTATAAATCAGATAAATCAATATCCAGCATATGAGTATTAGGGAAACCATCTATTACACTATCTACTGATTTATCCAGTGGATAGCATCTCCACCTTTAAAGCGACTGCATACAGTGTTACGAGATGGGATCCATGCAAAAAAGTACTCTGCCCCCTTATTTCCTTTATGGAGGGGATGTTTTCATGACTGGTGTTGATTTACATGCAAGGTCTTGCTTTATGTTTTTGGTGCAATTCTGTATTTAAATGAATGATAATGAATAATTTTATTATTATTATTAGTTAATGAAATGGGTCAAAATCACATCACTGTAACTTACCACAATACAAGCATCACCACAGGGAAGATTACTACAGACAAGCTTGTAGAGGAAATAAGGATGAGCTGGAGAATTATGCCGACTGGCTGTGACCGGTAATGCACCAATAACCACGCGATTCAACCAAACTGGACAAGCATCTGACCCAGCCATGGTGTGAAGAACCAGATTGAATGTCTGAAAAATTCATGAAAGTTTTATTTCAAAGTAAAAAGCTACATAGCAGTGCTGATCAAAATACTTTTTTCTTTTTTGAGCTTCAAAACGTCGTAAAAAGTCGAATTCATTTCAATATAAGCAAGAGGGGGGCCTACATTCGGGGGGGGGGGGGGATACCCCAACTTTTTTTTCGTTTAACAGGTAGGAGATTCCAAAAAAAAACACGTCCCTGCCTCCATTAATACAAAAACGGTTAAGGGGGACCCTGCCTATCATCCACGTGCCTGCCGTTCATATGTGTCTTTTCCCTGCACTCACCAAGAAAATTGACGTTAGTCACTATTGGGACTTAAAGGGTTAAATTAAGTTTGCTTACTAACACCATACATGGATGGAAATTTAGTATTACAAAAAGTAGAAATAATAATAATTAGATCAGAAACAAAGAGACTTGTCCCAGATAATTTTCCTCTTCATGTTATTTCCTCTTGTACTGTATGTTGTCTTATGTGCAAATTTTCAGCTAAATGTAAACTGGTGTTAAGTGGAATATTGAATTCGAGAGTTTTTAACATAATCTAATGTATGCGTAAGGCATTTTCTAAGGTTACCCCCAAGGATGGATCGTCGACTGCACCGAATTGGTGACTCTTCTTTAAGCATGAGCTTAACTGTAGCTCTTGTAGAAATTCAACCATACCAACTTTAAGTTTCAGTGTTTTTGAGACCGATTTGTTTTTTAAGATCCAAATTTAAGAGATCAATGATACATGATAAAATTCACGAGTTTACAGGGCAGAAGGAAGCCTACCGTTTAGTTAGTTAATCAACAAAAATGAAACCAGGCCAGGGAAATGAGATTAAGGAATTAAATTGAGGAAATAAAGTATTTTCATACCGCAGCATCAACTCTTCGCGACAACTTTCCGGCAAAATTGTCATATGAAACAGCCTGGAGGTGACGGGGTTGTCCAACGATCAGACATCCTTTCGACTGGGGATCAAATGTGGTTTTTTCCGCAGAAAACACAAGACAAGTCTCCGCCATTTTGAACGTGAAAGAAACCTCGATCGACCCACCACCTACCCTCACAAACACAAAATCTATTTGAATCATTGCTAGGGGAGGGGTCGGGAATAAGAAGAAAAGAAAAAAGCCCGCGAAATTTTATTCAACGTACACGAAGCATTGATGAAATGCTCGAACTCTTTGAGGATTTTGAAATGATTCAGAGGTATTTTGTGTTTGTTGTTGTGCACGATGATGTAAGTGAACCAGGTAAGAATTTTCAACGAATTCTTATGTTTGGTGGCCAAAGATAAATCTTCTTTGAGGCTGCGATTTCTGTGAGTTTTCTTTGGATCGTTTCATGTTAGGTTGCTTACACACATACATGTACAGTAATGTGTGACGATTTATATGCGGTATCTGCATGCTTTCTGATTCACTTGTAGACAGTTTTGCAGTGCGAGTTTCTTTCCAATTCCATATTGTTTTATTAGGTAATTGTTTAATCGTTCTGAAGCAAAGGCAGCCCAATGTTAATTAAAAAGTAGCTTGGTGTAGACTTCAAGTTACACTCATTTCTATATCATTAAAGCCTGGTTTTCATATGTCGGGAAAAATCCCAGACGATCGGGGATTTTACTTTTTGCCGACCGTGCCAGATTTTGCCGATATATCGGATAATCGCCACAAGTCTGTCCCAGAGACGCCATGTTTATGTGTGATAGGGGACTGGAGCCCAGGAATTTAGAGGATTGGTAGTGAGCGAAATTCATTGCCCACATCCCCGACAGTGCAAATTTGAGTTTTCATTTGTCGGGAATGATTGCCAACCATCACACAAATCTGGGACGCGTCGGGAAAATAGAAACGCTCCTGATTCTCCAGATTTGTCCCCGTCCATCCCAGACGATATCTACGATTTCGAGTTTTCATCAGTCGGCAAAATCTGGGACAGTCGCGAAACAGTAAGATCCCTGATTATCTGGGATTTTCCCAACAAATGAAAACCAGGCTTAAGTAACAAAAGCTTCTCTTGTTTAGCCTGCGTGACAGGTGCAGAAAAGGGGAGGGGGAGAGGGAGAAAAGCCCGAAAGGGAAAAGGGAAGGGAGCACCTGCTATGAGAGCCAGTGTTTTTGTATTCTGCCCACCAATTTCCGATAGCATCAACTGTCAATACATGAACAACCACAAGTAGGGGGCGCTTATCAGCATGGTTTAGACTTAATAAATTGTTACTTTGTTTACCGCAAATTGTGAAGTCAAGATGCTTTATTCAAATTATATCATAACCGAGCAAAATAAAACATTGTGGATGCCAGTGTCAAAAGAAATGAACAACAGGGGTTTCTCATAGCAGGCGTCCCTTAACCTCTCTCCCCAGTCCTCCTCCCTTTTCCCCTTCCTCCCAATCCCCTAACCTTGTCGACACCTGCGACGCAGGTTACTATTGTTACATAACCCGTACTTCAAATCCTTCCGACAAGGTGGAACTAATCTCATGGCCCTGTATTCTGTATTAATTTGCTTTTATTATTAATATTTTTAAAGAAGGCTTCTGTATTTGTAAAGTATCATTTATCTCCAATCCATGAGTGCTCCAAGAATGTTCCATTTTGTATCTGCCCCCTTCCCCCAAATGGTGATGGGTTTTTGAATATGGGGGTTCGGATTTTTTCTTTAAAGAAGCTGACAAAATTTGGACCCCTACACTGAGTAGGACAAATTTTTCAAAAGTGCTGACTAAAAATGAACCCTTCAGATTTCATTTTTTCAAAGGCACAGGCAACATTTCAAGGATCAAGCAAAATTTCAAGGGTTTGGATGCCTGTCATCTTTAGAGGGAGGGGGGGGGTTGCAAATAAAAAATGGAATGTCCCTCCCTCCTTAGTATCTGATTCTCCACCATACTGGCTTTGTGTGACTTTCTAAAGAAAACATTTTAATTTTTGTAACTTTGGAAACAAGTTTGGAATAGTTTTAACACAGAACCAGTGGTGGTCAGTAAGTGGTATCTTAGAATTACATGTGATGCATAAAGTTATAGATTGGATCATCGAAGGTTTACATTTCCAAAAAATAAAACTGTTCTTGTAACTAAGATCATTCCCTAATAATCAAAGGGGTGTATGCGTTGGAGTCTTAGCAATGGCTTTGTTTATTTGATGCACAGATTGCCATTGCTGCTCTAAAGATGTGATTCCAAGCATTAAGAGAGTCTTTAAACAGTTGAAGGAGTTTTATAGTCAGGATGAAAACCCGCCTGAAAATTGGGACAATAAGCAGTATGCATTGCTTGGTGAGTTTATTTTATTATTATCTGCCACTCTCATTACATGTATTTTGGACTTTTTTAAAAACGTTGCTCAGGGTTGTCACTAAGATTTCAAGTTGCCGGGTAAATACAACAAGTAGGCGGGGAATCAAACGGCTAGGGATTTCTTTTGGTT